TGGTCCCTCTCTCTCCACAGCCAGCCCCAAAGCCTTCAGGATCCTGGAGAAATCTGAAGTTGACAGACTGACATTAGAGAACTGCATTGGGCTCAATTCACCTGTGTGTTGCTTTGAACTGGAAACAACAGGCGTCACGTTTTGAAGAACTTATGTGCAGCAAGCACTTGCTACGTGCTTCACTTAAGTGATTTTATCCTCTCCTCGTGTGAAAAATGAAAAGCCCAAGGCTTAGAGGAGTCAAGTGACTTGCCCGAGGTCACACAGCTGTCTGATACCTGACTCCATGACTGCTCTGGTCCCTTGATGCTGAGTTGCCTTGCATTGGGCATGCACTTTGCTGTGTCCTTCCGTAGTGAGAGTCAGAATTCTCTAAGGTCATCCACTCTCCCCATCAGGACCCCCTTGTGGCCATAACATAAGTCTGAACCTCACCCAGAGACAGAAGCCATCTAAATTTCTCTAGGGAGACAGAAGGTAAGGGGGCAGGGCACAACCTTTCATTGAGGATGCAACATAAACTGGTTAGAACCAACGAGGCCTAAGATGGTGAATGATTCAACTTCCAACAGACTTTGGGCCCCATTGTATGTTCATTGTAGTATGTTAACATGCTAAATGACACACCCACAGGTGCCATGACAGTTCCCAAGGCTGACCATAAAAGACCAAAAAGTGGGCAGGGCCCAATTCCTAGAAATTCCCGCCTCTTCCCCAAAATAGTTGGAATAATTCTCCTTCTTGTTAGCATATGAAATTACCCAATCCAGAACCCTCCTACACTGCTGGTGGGAATGCAGTTTGGTGCAGCCACTGTAGAAAACAGTATGGAGATTCCTCAAAAGACTAGGAATAGACTTACCGTATGACCCAGGAATCCCACTCCTGGGCTTATATCCAGAAGGAACCCTACTTCAGGATGACACCTGCACCCCAATGTTCATAGCAGCACTATTTACAATAGCCAAGACATGGAAACAGCCTAAATGTCCATCAACGGATGACTGGATAAAGAAGATGTGGTATATTTATACAATGGAATACTATTCAGCCATAAAAACTGACAACATAATGCCATTTGCAGCAACATGGATGCTCCTGGAGAATGTCATTCTAAGTGAAGTAAGCCAGAAAGAGAAAGAAAAATACCATATGAGATCGCTCATATGTTGGATCTAAAAAAC